GGAAATGCCTACATTATTGACATGAATAGCAATTTCCGTGACGATGTCACTTGTCTCTTCTCCAAAGCTTCGGAACAAAATGTTATGTTGTGGCATCATCATCTCGGTCATGCGAATGCAAAGAACTTGAATCGGCTTGCGAAGAACGAACTGGTCCGAGGATTACCTGTCAATGATTTCATTACTTTTGAAAAATGGGTTTCCTGCGCTCAGGGAAAACATCATCATAAACCACACTTTCTAAAGCAGATAAACTCCATAAGTCAAGTGCTCGAGTTGTTACATATGGATTTATTTGGTTTGCTTAATGTTCTCAGCATCCATCACAACTCATATTGCCTTGTTGTGATAGACGATTACTCTCGTTTCATTTGGGTTTTCTTATTTTCCAACAAAGCTAGGATCCCTAACCTCATCAAAAGATTCATTGTGATGATCGAAAATTAGACCAACAATCGAGTGAAAGTGTTGCATACTAATAATGGAACAAAGTTCAATAACGTTGTTCTTGATCATTTTTGCACAGAGAAAGGGATTGTGCGTCAATTTAGTTCCGTTCGAAATCCTCAACAAAACGGGGTTGCCGAACACCGGAATTGAACTCTAAAAGACGCCGTAAGGACGATGCTCTGTGATTCCGAGCTTCCTGTGTTCTTCTGGGTAGAGGCAATTAACATTGCATGTTATGTTCAGAATCGTGTGCTAATCAACAAAGCCAGAATGAAGACACCGTACGAAATTATATTTGGACACAATCCATCTGTCAGCCATTTCCGAGTTTTTGGCTGCCCTTGCACCCTTCTTCACTTGGAATCCAACCCCAAATTCAATGCAAAAGCCTATTATTGTTACTTTGGTGGTTATGCTGCTCAAACTGCTTACAGGGTATACAATAAGAAGACAAAAAAGATTGTAGAATCTTTCGATATTTGTTGGCTAGAAGAAAATGAGACAGATGAAAAAGTGGGTCCTGATTGGTTATTTGACTACACATCTCTTTTCAAATCATTCAATGTGCTCTCAGAAAATCAAAAAAGGATCTACGTCAAATTCGAAGATTAGAATTAAAGATGAAGAAGATAAAGTTGTCTACTGACCACCACTGCTTTCTTCTGACCCCCTAATGGTGCCCTCTGTTCACACTGAGTCTTCAAAGTCTTCTCCTCAACCACCTTCTCCTGATGTTGTTGCTATTCCTCTAACTCCGGTGGAAAGAGAGCTCATGAACCACGAGACTTCCGCTGTAACTTCAAATCTGATGGAACTTCTCTTTCCAGAAAGTATTGTTGACGAGTTTGTAGCAGATCATTCGAACGAACGTTGCTCATCTTCTATGACTCACACAGAAAATGATGGAGCAGTTAACATTCATACTATTCTAGTCTCTGTCAATGATATCAGCTACGAGATCCCTGCATGCATTCAGGGCGATCATCCAATTGAGAACGTCATTGGCCACCTGGGCGACAATGTTCAAACAAGAAGTCAAAGTGGGGATGTTAACACATGTATCTACTCTTGCTTCAATTCTCAGATAGAGCCTAAATCTGTCGAAATGGCTCTGAATGAGCCCAGCTGGGTTGAAGCCATACATGATGAACTTAATCAATTTGAGAGGCTTGGGGTATGGAAGTTGGTGGAGCTGCCAAAAGGAAAGAAATCTCTTGACACCCGATGGGTCTTTCAAAATAAACTAGATGATTCTGGAATTATTGTGCGCAACAAGGCGAGATTAGTGGTTCGAGGGTTTCGGAAAATTGAGGGTCTTGATTATACGGAAGTTTATGCTCCGGTCGCTCGTTTGGAGGCTATTCTTATCTTCCTTGCTTATGCTTCCTATACGACCTTCACAGTATACCAAACGGATGTCAAGATGGCTTTCTTGTACGACAAGGTCAAGGAGGAGATCTACGTTGACCAACCACCCGGTTTGTTGACTCCAGACTTCCAAACCATGTTTACAAGTGAGACAAAGCTTTGTATGGATTGCATCAACCTCCTAGAGCTCGGTCCAGATCAAATTTTTGTTCAAATTTATGTAGACGAAATTATTTTCGGATCGAAAAGCCAACAACTTTGCAAAGAGTTCGAAGCAGTGATGAAGAAGCGGTTTGAGATGAGTTCGCTTGGGGAAATGCCATGTTTCTGGGGATTCAGGTCCAACAATCTTCAACCGGAATCCTTATTCACCAAGCAAAGGATGTGGATGATGTACTGGAGAAGTTTGGGTTCCGAGACGTGAAACCTGCTCTTACACCCATCGTAGACAGACCCTTCTGACCCCTGATATTGAGGGTGAATCCATAGATCAGATGCATTATCGATCAATGATCGGATCACTCATGTATCTAACTACCAGTCGACCAGACATAATGTTTGCGTCTGTCAATGTGCTCGCTACCAGGCTAATCCTAAACTCTATCATTTACTTGTTGTTAAATGGATTTTTGGGTATCTCAAAGGGTGCCCAAAACTGGGTCTTTGGTATCTGAAAAATCCATAATTTGATATGTACGCTTTTGCAGACAACAACTATGGCGGGTGTGAGCTTGATAGAAAATCGACTTCAGGCGGATGCCAATTTCTAGGCGATATATTGGTCTCATGGCAGTGTAAGAAGCAGCATACCGTTTCCACCTCAACAGCAGAAGCGGAGTATGTCACTGCATCTGCTTGTTGTTCACAAGTCATCTGGATCCAACATCAGTCGTTGGACTACGGTTTGAATTTTCAAGAAACCCCTCTTTTCTGTGATAACGAGGCTGCGATCCAAATTGCCAAAAACATGGTCCCGAACTCAAAAACCATGCACATCGACATCAAGATTCATTTTATCATAGAATGTTATAAGTGTTCGCTCATTCGGCTAGAACAGGTCCACTTAGATAATAATGAAGCAGATCTGTTCACCAAGCCATTTAACAAAGCTCAATTCGATGTGCTGGTTAATTTTCTAAAAATGATTCGTTTTGAGGATTAATTTTTTTATGTCTATCTTAGGGTAAATTTGTGCATTTTCTTTTGTTATTTTTTTATATATGCACAAATTTAGGGGGAGAAAATTAGAAAATCCAAAAACATAAAAAATTAGAAAATCCAAAAACATAAAAAATTAGAAAATCCAAAAACATTAAAAATCAGAAAAACTAAAAATATTATGCTGATTATAGAATGTGCTTAAAGGAGATGTTTAGGGAAGTGATATTATTAAGTGATAACAGGTAATCTAAGTCTGTGTAACGTACCCAAAGTTGAAGGGTCTATGCTTTGGTATGATGCGTCGGTAGACACGAAGAATTTAACGGACTTGACTAGGTGCAGATGAACTTAAGGAATCTATAGACTTGACAAATCTTGACCTAGTTAGATTCGGTCAGCCTGACAATATGACGCTTGGATAGGATGAGCACGGAGATATATATATATATATATATATATATATATATATATATATATATATATATATATATATATATATATATGGGAATCTAATAGTCACATTAAATGAACCCGTATCTGGAACCGTGGTTTAACTTTTCCTCCATGTGCGGATTTTATCCTTAATTCCGGTATTGATAGTGCAACTGGTAAATTCCGATAAATTAGGATTGTAGAAAATCATTTTCTATCTTTCTGTCTGTTAGTCATATGTTACCTCCTCTGCATGACTGGAAGAGATCCGACCTGGACTGTAACATATACAACTTTATTTCTCTACATATTATACCTATATATATATATATATATATATATATATATATATATATATATATATATACATATTAAATTCCTCTTATCTGTTAGCCATATGTTGTCTCCTTTGCGTGACTAACAATCCGACCTGGTACACAGCATATGCACTATAAGTGATAATATTTTGAATCTATCTTCTCCCTTAATGATGGTTTGCTCATCAAATGTAAGCACTACTCTGGAAGTCCTTGATTACCAGGGCATATCTAGAAGTGGGAAACATGTTCCAGTACAATTAAAATTGATCACTCAAACATTGTTTATAGATCTCGCTGCTCAATTTAGGTGGTCAACAATATCCCTGATCGTCGTCAGTTAAATGGTCCTTAAGATATAGTATCTAGAAACTTAGGATCAGATATAATATCTAGGAACTTAGGATCACATTGTCCTGTCACTTATAGTGTGTCCTAATTTTGTCACAATTTTTCGTGTTTAATAGTCAACAATATCAGCGATCGTCCAGACAAAAATGTGAAGATAGAAGGTACCGACGACCGGATATAGGCTGTCTTAAAACTTTGATCCCTAATTACAATAGGTTAAAACAATATATATATATATATATATATATATATATATATATATATATATATATATATGTAGGACTAAATTGATTTTTTATTCCTAGTCGTTAATAGTATTTCAAATTTCATTTTATTCTATTCTAATTTATTTTTATTTTTTAATTTTTTTAAATAATAAGTTTTATTTTGTTTTAGTTATTATGTTATTTTTAGGAATTTTGAATTTAATATCTTATTAATCCTCAAAATATTTCATTTGTGAAAAAATGGTGATTGGAAGGGGCATCGGTTTTAATGTTAAAAAGTAATGGGGAAAATTTGTAAATTATGTGTATATATATAGCGTGTGTGCGGTGAGTCTTTCACTGTCACTTTTCCTTGCCTCAACTGCACACGCACAACTGTTTCTCTTTAAAACTCATACATATTCCATAATTTCTCATGAAATCAAAGCTGTTACTCGGTAATTCATATGAACACGGATTATTTTTCGATTATTTTCAGAAAAATGACCATAGTTTGCTGTTGAATCTTTATCAAAACTGTTTGTCTTCGAGTGTAACCGCACACGGGCGTGTGCGACTGCATTATTTTATGTGTTATTAGGATGTGCGGTTGCGGCTGCACACTTGCACGTGTGCGGCTGTGTGTAATTCTGTGTGCGGCTGCATCATTCTCATAGTCTTACCCTAATATATTTTTTTTGCCTTTCAGATTAAAATGGGAGACATGGAGTTCGCTAAAGTCCACGACTTCGCAATTTTTCTTGAAGACCCTCTTGCATCCCACAATGACTTGAAATTCATTGTGGATGGTATGGAGAAAGCTTTCTTGGTTCATGCCCTAACTACAAGTCTTGCTATCTACCAAAGTTTGATTAAGGATTTCTAGAGGAATGCTGTTGTAAAGAAGAATGATCAAGGTGAAAAATTTGTGGAAGCAACAATCGAAGACAAGAAAATTCAAGTAATAGAAAGCATCATTAGAGAATCTCTCCAAATTGAGGACATACCTGATTACCCCATGGAGATTGATGTTCATCAAACTGAGGAAGTCTTAGAGCATATGGGATACAGTGGAACTTTTCCTCCTACAATTAAGAAGTTGCTTCCTCCATGCTGGAAGTATTTGGCTCATCTGTTCTGGAGCTTCATTTCCGGTAGGATATCAGGAGCAAACGAGATCTCTTTGGCCAACACTGGTGCCATTGCAGCATTGGCTGCATGTTTTGAGTTCAATTTCTCAAAATTTATAATGAATGAGATGACACTGAATCTTGAAGGGAGAAAAAGGGACAAATTCTGGATGTATCCAAGATTTTTACAAATCATCCTTAACGTGACTCACCTTGAGCTGCATAGAGGAAATGATACTTCGGATTTCAAATCCATTGGTCCAAGTGCCTTTGGACTAATGAAACAAAAGATAGGCGGGAAGTTCGTATTTGAAGGAAAATTTCCATTAATAAAATGTGGAATTTTTAAAGAGAATGATAAAGAAGAATCAGAAGAACAATCCATGCAGATGGAAAATGAAGATATTTCTCACTTTCTCTCCGAGCCAGAAGAGGAGGAGATTCATGACTCTCCCACAGCTTGTGTAGCTGATGAGCATGATCTTCAGAAAGCAAATGAATCAAAATCTTCTCGAGAGGACGATGACGATGATCTTTATGATGATGTGGAGTTTTTAAAAGAAATTGACTTTACAGGAATCAATGACGACATTCCAACAAACATGGATTTTGATCTTGGTGATGAAGATTTTGATCCTTTTCTTGATATTCCTAGCAACCGTGTAATTAAAGTCAATGAAGTTGCTTCTTTAGCAACCAAGACTAGAGATGAAGGAAATGTTCTCAAGATTCTACTCTCTACTTCAAAGCCCTTGGAGGTCGCAACAAGCCAAGGAGATGTGACATCAGAGATTCCTCCCTCTGTGTCACTTGTCTCAACTTCTGCTCCAGTCATTTTTTATTCAACTGGACCTCAGACTTCCATGAAAACAAGCCAATCACTTGAAAGTCTGGAGGTACCCGCTGTAAGATGTGCACCTCAAGTTCTTTCAACAATCACTGCTACCTCTGCTCACTCTCCTCTAAAGCAAATAGATGAAGGTCCGAGTACCATGTTTGAGACTGGTGGATCCTCATCAATTCCAGAGTATTCTCCAACTCGACCTTCACTAGATGAAGCTTCTATTACATTAGTAAGACATCTGCCTCAATCTATTCCAACTTCCTCACGCGGGAAAGGATTATCATTTAAGGAGGGTCGGACAGATGATGACAAATCTTCTTCGCTTGATCTTCTAGAGGAGATTAGGATTCTCTGTCAACAGCTCATCCAAAAGTCAATTTAGATGGATCAGCTTTCTACAAACATCTGTAAGCTCAGGGCGTAGGATGAAGAAAAGACCAAACAAATTAATGAACTACAAATGAGTCTTGGATCTGTACTAGCTAATTATTTCAATCTCAAGAACGTTTTGTACGATGCATTTGGTGAAAAATCATAGCCCTCTTCCAACAGCCTCATGGAATAGCTGATCCTCCCACAGTTCAATCACCTCCGGCAACTGATAATCTCCCTGTCAACCCACCTACTCCAAGAACAACTACAGTTGTCAACTGGTTTGAAAAAGAACCATAAGGAAGCAAAGTCAGAATCACAATCAAACAGGGAAAAATAATCGTAATTGCAAATCAAAGCGAAGGCCTTTTATTCATGAAAAATTCTAATGAAAATCGCAAAGCAAGAGACCCTGTTTTGACAGCAACAGATTTGAAGAAAAGAAAGTTCGGTGATGAGTATGGTGATAGGACAGGTATCCGAATGTGGGACTTTGATCGAGTGATGAATTTGTGGGTTGTAAAGCAAAAATCAGGAGCATCTAAATGTTACAAAAGCACTCACGATTTCAACTCTTGGACCAAAACTGATCTAGCCGATTGATCCAGGGCGCCATTCCATAATCCCTCCGAAAATCCCAGTGCTTCAAATTTCAAAAGGTTTCTCGACAGATAGGTCAGAGAAAACTTTCCATCAATGAAGACTGCAAAAGCTCTATACAGAAAAGATAAAGATGTTCTTGATCCAGAATCAGGCGAACCCATGAAGATCATACTCTGGCCTGCAACTTAGAAACAAAAGGAAAATCCTATTCCTCAACATTTTCATGAGGAATATCTGGATAATATGGAATTTTGGGCCTATGATGACGAAATTGCAATTGCAGCTATCATATTCAAGGATCGAGAACACGTTCTGAGCTTGATTAATGCCAAAATCTTCTTCGTTTCAGAGAAAGGGATATACGGACTCTTGCTCGTCATCAAATCATTTGCAGAAAAGATGTCATGGAAGCTACTACTAAAGAATTCAATGCACTGGTGGCTACGATCATCAATGGAAGAATGTGGATGGGCTCTGTAGGGAGATCAAATCTAAGGTTGTTTCAAAAGCTTACTGAGAAGCCAAACGAATAAAGTTCAAGACTATGCTAGTCTCAAACCAAGGTAGAGATTGAAAGTCCATAATTTTGTGGTTTGAGCTAGTCATAATTTTTGTATAGATCTATTTAGGATGTCAGAGTGTGTATTGCATTAGTGTTGTTTTGAGCTTGTGTTGTATTCTGCCACACATGTGTGTGCGGCCGCACATGTGTGTACGGCTGCACACTCTTATGCTGGTAGGAGGGGTACTATTTATAGTAACTGAGTTGTGTCAGATGTGAGGTACTTTCAGTCAGAACTCTGCAGTGGTCGTACTTTCTCAAGATGTACTTGACATTTACTTGCAATAGATGTGTGCATGCTTCATTTTACTTCTTCTTATTCTACATTTCACCTTAATTGCAATTAAGTTCATTGATTACTGAATTGGATCCTTAGTTTTGGGGACTTACAAGGGTCAATAGTATGGTTATAAGATTCACATGGAGTATTAAAAACACGTTGATGTACGGGGTTATCTATTGCCTTAACGATTCTTTTACATACATAAATCTACTATTCTAGGCATGAAAAACACTATTGCATAATAATTTTTGGAACTTTTTAACTACCATACACTTATGGAAAAATATTGGAATTTTAGAAACAACATTCGAAACAGGCGGGTCTTAGTAGAAGACTACTTTTATACTAGTAGGAAATATGAGATTTTCTAGGAGTTTTCAAACATCTACAAACAAATTCATTTGAATTTATAAAAACATTGACATTAAATACTTATGAACTCACCAGCATAAACGATGATCTACTCTTTCAAATCTACTTGTATTTCTCAGCGATTCAGTAATACAGGTATACTTCAACTTTTGGAGAAGTGATGCTAAGGCGTCAGTTTTAAACTCATTTTGTCATCATATTGTAATTTGTTTTTGAAACAAGTATCATCCAACAATGTAACTCTTAAATTATATATATGATGGTTGTGTTTACTTTCTTTACTATGTGTTCAACTGTTACGATACTACATGAAGTCACCCACCCTCGAATGATTCCATTGGTTTGGTTTGGGGGTGTGACAGTTTTGATATTTATAGACTATGTATCTTGTTGCAAGATCGTTCCATGTGAATGGTATTCTAGTACTGGTATTATTCAACTTTGAGGCTACCCTATCATTCATATCTCTTGGGGGTGTGACAGTTTTGATATTTACCAAGTCTATGAGTATGTTGGATCATCCTTTCGAGGTCGAGATTACGGACGATCGATCCGTTCGGGCATCAGAGGTTTATAGAGATCATGTCCTGAGGATGTATGACGAGGGTTATCTCATGGATTTGGTTCCCATTCCTTTGAATGGGAACAAGGTCATCACGGATTGTTTGAGCCCTAATGAGGCGGTGATCAACTGTGACCAGTAGTTGGTTCAGGTCAGGACCCCAAGTGGGGGAGAGCTAGTGATTAAGGGTGAGAGACTATAGCGTAGACCGGTCATGTGTTCTACAATGAGAGCCAAATGCCACCTTCATCATGGATGTGCACGTTTTTTCGTCTACGCTATGGATACCCGGGAGAAGGGTAAGGCGTCGTGGATGATGTGCCATGTTTGCGAGAGTATCCAGACGTTTTCCCGGAGGACTTGCCTGGGATATCTCCGGAGAGGCATGTAGAGTTAAGGATTGACCTAGTTCATGGTGCGGCTCCGATATCCAAGGCACCATATTGGTTGGCTCCTCCCGAGATGAAGGAGTTATCTACATAGCTGCATGAGCTTTTAGACTAGGGATTTATCAAGACAAGCAGTTCGCCATGGGGAGCCCCGATCCTGTTTGTGAAGAAAAAGGACGGGTCACATCGTATATGTATAGATTACCTGGAGTTAAATAAGGTAGCGATGAAGAACCGTTACCCCTTCCCGAGGTTTGATGACTTATTTGACCAGCTTCAGCGTGCATCTTGGTTCTCTAAGATTGATCTGTGATCAGGTTATCACTAGATGCGAGTCAGAACAACGATGTATAAAAGACAACCTGTCAGACTCGCTATGGTTACTATGAGTCTGTGGTGATGTCGTTTGGGCTTACCAATGCCCCTATCACGTTCATGGATCTCATGAACCACGTATACAGACCGATCTTGGATCGATCTGTGATAGTCTTTATTGATGACATCTTGGTTTACTCCAAGACACAGGAGCAACACGAGGAGCACCTGAGGGAGGTGCTGGAGACACTGAGGAGGGAGAGACTTTTCGTAAAGTTCTCTAAGTGTGAGTTTTAGTTGTGTGAGGTGCAGTTTCTGGAGCACCTCGTCAACCAGAACGGTATTCTGGTCGATCCGGCCAACGTAGAGCCCATGATGATATGGGAGGTTCTGAGGTCTCCATCCGAGATTCAAAGTTTTCTTGGTATGGTGGATTATTATCGGAGATTCATCTAGGATTTCTCAAAGATTGCTATCTTATTGATCCCACTGACTAAGAAGTCAGTAACATTGAGCAGAAGGTGGCTTTCGAGACTTTGAGGCAGATGTTGTGCGAGGAACTAATATTAACTCTGCCAGAGGGTGTTGAGGATTTGGTAATGTATTGTGACGCGTCTATCTCAGGTTTGGGCACAATGTTGATGCAGAAAGGACACATCATCGCTTATGCCTCAAGGAAGTTGAAGCCTCACTAGGAGAATTACTCGATGCATGACCTAGAGTTGGGGGCAGTTGTTTTTGCCCTCAGGATTTAGCGACACTACCTCTATAGGGTCCATTGTACCATTTACATAGATCACAAGACCTTGAGGTAGTTGATGGACCAGCCAAATCTGAACATGAGGTAGCGACAGTGGTTGGATGTGGTGAAGGATTATGATTACGAGATCCTCTACCACCCGGGGAAGGCTAATGTTATGGTCGATACACTTAGCCCCAAGGCATTTGCGGCCACGATCAAAGGCATCTTCCTGAGGATGATAGTAGTGACTCCACTTTTGGAGCGGATTCGAGAGGATCAGTCGGAGGCTATGAAGGAGGATCACCGGAAGAGTAAGCGTATTGTGGGCCATATTTCGTCCTTCGGCTATGATAGTCACGAGCTATTGACACTCCATGGTAGAGTGTGGGTTCCGTACTCAGGCAGTGTACGCCAAATCCTAATGAAGGAGGTGCACAAATCCAGATTTTCCATCCATCTTGGGGAGACAAAGATGTATAGAGATCTTCATTTTGATTATTGGTGGCCATGTATGAAGCGGGATGTAGCCTTGTACATAGAGAGGTGCTTGACCTGCAGGAAGGTCAACACCGAACACCAGAGACAACTTGGCAACACTCAGTCATTAGATATCCCCGTGTGGAAATGGGAAGATATTACCATGGACTTCATTACGAAGTTAAATCGGATTCCGCACGGAGTTGATGCGATATGGGTCATCATGGATCGATTGACCAAGAGCGCCCACTTCATACTTACTCAGGAGAGTATTTCGGCCTAGAAGTTGGTAGACATCTACATCCGGGAGGTAGTACATTGGCATGGGGTGCTAGTTTCTGTGATTTATGACAGGGATGCGTGGTTCACTTCCAGATTCTGGAAGAAACTTCATGACGAGTTGGGTTCTCATCTGCACATCACCACGACTTTCCACCCGCAATAGATGGTCAGAGTGAGCGGACCATCCAGACTTTAGAGGATATATTACGGGTATGTGTTCTAGATTTCGGTGGTAGCTGGGATACCCACATTCCCTTGGCAGAGTTTTGCTATGATAATAGCTATCACACCAGTATCGACCGGCCTCCCTTCAAGATGCTTTACGGGAGGAAGTGCAAGACACCAATATGTTAGTGTGAGGTGTGACAAAAGGTCATGGGGAGTACCAAAGTGGTACTCAAGATGACAGAGAAGATCCAGTAAGTCTAGAGTAGACTCCAGCAATGCCGATAGGCGTCAATCGGAACAGGAGTTTCAGGTCAGGGATATGGTCCTTCTAATGGTGTCACCTTGGAAAGGTGTCATCCACATCAAAAAAATGCGCCAAATTGGGCCCCACGTGTATAGGACATTTCATGGTTATAGCCCGAGTGGGCAAGGTAGCTTATAGGATGGATCTTCTGGAAGAACTTAGATAGATCCACAACATTTTTCATGTCTCCCAGCTGCAGAAGTGCTTAGTGGATGACCCCATAGTTGTGCCCTTAAATGATATTCAAGTGGATGATAGCCTAAACTACATCGAGAGACCAGTAGCCATTCTAGATAGGAAGACGAAGGATCTAAGGAACAAGAGGGTAGAGTTGGTGAAGGTGTAGTGGCAGCACCGCAAGAGCTCAGATTGGACGTGTGAGCCGAAGGTCGAAATAATGGAGAACTACCTGGAGCTATTTCCAGATGCGGTGAACTTTGAGGATGAAGCCTAATTCAAGTGGGGGAGAATTATACCACTCGGTAATTCTCCATGGTATTATTTCTATATTGGATTAGTTGTTTTATATTGATTGGGCTTGGATCCATTGGATCATTGCTAAATGGGCTATAGGGTGTCGTACATTGGGCGTACTACCCTATGTACGTAAAGTGTAGTGGTGAAAATGGATCGTGCATGACCTTCACGTACACGCAGCATACCAAGGAGTACGCATAACATACGTGAGCTGTCTCCAAAACCCTAAATTGAGGGTCTGATCCCTATATAATGAACATTATGGCCTTAAGTCCAGTCTCCCTCTCACCCTTAAGAATCTCCCACTAAAACCCTAATACATATTTGGTGTGTTCTTGTTCTTGGAAGGATTTGAAGAGTATTTTTGTGTTTGGATCCATTCTCCAAGGAAGTAAATGCGAAGCAAGGTGGTGGTGATACATCTGAGATTGTTGCTCTATTTCAGGCCTTTTATGGTATAAAGTCTTGAACTTGATCAATGAGTGCTTAGATCTATTATGTTGAGTTTTTGGACATTTTTGTACAAAAGAATCGAGGTTTATGGTTCCAAATTTGTTTCAAGGCTTAGGGTAGCCAACCTTAGTGCTATTTGAGTCCGAA